CATTAGAAAAGTTAAATCTTCAATCTGAAGAACAATGCGCAGTAGTACCAATCAAACTCACTTTATTTCCTTTAACTGCTCGCCGTTTCAAATGGACCCACCAGCGACCGAGCGGTGAAGTCGCTGAACACTGGTAGTTCGGTCTGAGGTTCGAATCCCGCAATCGGGCTGGCTGCATTGGTGTTTTTGTGGATTTCCCCATGTTTAACGCGCATACGAGCCAGTTTCTCTTAGAAAGTCTTCCACGAATTCATAGCTCCCCTTAGGCAGATAGTCCTCGAGGCTTTGCCATAATCACATACACCAATCCACAGCAACACAGTTTCAAATGCTTCCAGTCCGTGCCAATGATCCTGCTGTAGTCTTGCTTCAATCAAATTTCCTTTTATTGATGTTTTCCTTTGCAAGCAACCATTTTTCCACCATTAAAATCATGTCCCGCCTATCTTATGATCTCGCAATCCTTTCGGGCTGTATTTAATTAATAAATAGATCCTTTCCCTGATTAACCTGGGCTTTAATAACTGTAACACTGGCAACTTCAAACATAAACATTCGTGTTGTAATTGAGTGTTCAGAGCCATGTTGACTAATGACATAAGTTTGAGTACGGATACTAATTTAAAACGATAGAATGAAATTTCATATTTAATGCACCATTCACTATTTCTCTTTACACTATACAAAAATACACTGCCTTCACTTAAACGTATTTAAACATCTAATTTACGTGTCAAAAGTTTGATTTATAACAGCGTGTTCTCCATTAGCTCCAGTTGTAAGTAATCGAATTTTCGAGTAATAAGTATTCGATATTCTTACTGGAGGGAAATAGCTGACTTACAAGCTTTCCGACGAATTCACAGAACATCTCTCGAACAGAAAATTCACGGGAATTTTGCTCACATAGTGGGACTACTGTCGTCAATGGATAGTCATATAATTGCGTTAGGTTACGATCTATCTGTATCACATAGTTAGATTACTGTCGCCCCACCATCGACCAGTCTCTGAACACTTGTATTTCCCATCTGGGTTCGATTCCAAGTGAACGGGCTAGCCGCATGGGCGTTTTCGTAGTTTTCCCCATGTCGCTGAACGAGTATACGAGCCAGTTTCTCTCAGAAAGTACTCCACGAAGGCATCCCTCATCTTAGGCGGATAGCTCTCGCGCACTTTGGCTTAATCGCGTACTTTGGCATAAGTATAAAATACTACTAATAAAGGTTACTGTCTTTATAGTAGTAGTTTATACTTAGGAGTAGGATAATTTTCGGTCCTTTATCACTCGTGTTGGTCGTAGAATGTTTTTGTCTTGTTTCTTGGTCTAAATTACCCGCAATAAGCCTGAGTCTCGCAGTAAAATGTTGAGTGGCAGAATCTACTTTTCAAACTTATTCTCAGAGAACGCGTTTGTAAGTTGCGCATTACATCTCGCGTGTTTCACAGCTTTAAGAGTAGAGTTCTCATGACCATTTTCTATCAGATGTAGAGCCAAGGTAGACATTTGAGCAAAATACGAGTAATTATTGTATTTCTCTTCTACTCCTGATAATCTTTCAAGAGAAGCTTGTACAGATGGATTTAAAATGCTACCCTTCTGAGAAGAACCCAAAAATACCTGCATTATCTACCATGCTAACTTTCTATCTGTATTTCGAATTGTAGCTAATTGTATTGCATACATTTCTTTTCTTGAAAACCTGAAATTTCAAACATTTCTTTAAAAATGCTATGAAACATTAATACATAATTCTCAGTGATCAAATTTGTAGAGCAAAGTTATACATTACTGCAATACATTGCTTTCCCTTTCTAAATTAAGGAACGTTCTCAAATTGGATATGGATATGGAGAAAGTCCAAAAAGGATTTTAGATGCGCTAATGAATTAAAACTAGGTGAATTTTTTATTTTAACTCACTTCAGAGAAAAAGTGGCTTCCTTTCAATAAACACTGAGAATTATTATGCATGGATTTTTCCCCCCTTCTTCCAATTTAAACTAAATACTTTTCTTTTTTCTCTTTTATGCGAAGCACTAAAAAACTACGTTATTTAAAATACTCTCTTGTTATTTAAACAGCTACCGTGAGAAGTAAAACAAACAAATAAATAAATAAAATAACTACCCTTTCCATTTAACAGTGATTAATTCTCTCGACCACTTGGTTCCAGAAATGCTAATCAGCTTATTTGCTCGAGTTCTTACAAAAGAAGTGGAAAAAAGTTAACGACAGTTTCATTAACGTTAACAGCAGAAAACCCTTCTTATTTTCTTTTCTCTTTTTCCATCGTGCTTCTTTTTTTTTTTTTTATTTTAAGTAAACTCCAAAACTGATTCACCCTTTTAGATTCGAGATTAAAAATATGATGAAAAAAAAATGCTCGGGTTAAGCATTGATTTAATATTTGAGAGAAACTTTTAGTGTTCTTACATTTTAATTAAACCGAAAATGGAAACACTTCGAAAAGCGTCAACGCTGACATGCAAGACATTTTTACATTTTTATTGAATTACGTACTGTTTTGAAACTTGAATATTAAGTATTATTAAAAAATGGGCACAAGAATGCTTCTGTTGAAGCACCTTTTCAACTAACTACTACATCATACACCTAAAAACTTATTTTGACCATGAACGAAATCATCTCCAGCACGCAATTCTTTTTGCTCATTCGAAACGCTTGATGAGTGTGTGGTGCCATCTATCGAAGATACTAAAAACTAAATTCCATTACCGCAATGTCACCATTGTTTCAAGGGCTTAAATGGCAATAGAAAGAAACGTTTAATATTGGTGGTCATTCCTCTTGTTTGAGTCGGTTTGTTAACTTCAGTAACCTTCAGTTTTCAGTTATATGTTCTGACAGAAATGCACCAACAGAGGGGTACTATAGGATTCTACTTGATAATAAAGGAAATGCATTTGAAGCGTTCATTTAACGAAATGTTATTAAAGCTATTTTTCCTCAATTTTTAGCTCTGTAATTTGTGGATACTATCTTTGTAAAATAATCTGCAGGTTCTTCGAAGTAGACAATGTAAAATGTCAATCATGTCTTTGCCAGAACTCAAACTGCGGTCTTTTCAATTGGGTAGCAGAACACGCTAAATAGTCAATGAATTTTATTTGAAGTTTCAAATGTTAAAGTTCTAATTAATGTTCTCAATTTTTTCACTGAAACTGTCTGCGGCGTAGACACATTGGACCTACAATAGAAGTTATAATCCTGGAGAGCAATTTCCTATGTCAGCACCATTTGTACTGCCATTCTTGAGCAATACCCCAAATAACATTTTCTAACAGAATAACGGTTGTTTCTACACTGCTGTTATCAGCCATCGTGCTCTACAGAGCATCGAGATGTTGCCTTGGTTGTCGTCGAGATATTGCCCTGAGAGATCACCTGACTTTTCTCCCATCGAGTACATATGGAATATGACTGAAAGACAAATCTAGCATCAACCACAACCAGAACGGAACGTTGTTGATTTGATTGCCTAAGAACAACATCGTGCTTACTTACTTAAAACAAAAAGGAAAGAAGCATGATGGAACGGAGCTCCATTTCATAAAATAACATAAGGCACCTGTACGACACAGCGTATTTGCATACCACCAGTCATCATAGTGGAGACTACAGCGGTTATTAGGGTACTGAAATGGCTCTACTTGCGCATGCTTTAATTTATAACCTTGAAACATTAATCAAATAAATATTTTACCTAGGCAGAGGCTTTGCTTCCATTTCATTCCTCTAAACCAGGGCTTCTTAAACTTTTTTAATTCGCGACCCCTTTTTAGCTCAAAGATTTTTTTCGCGACCCCAGGACACCATAATATTTACGAAAACTTTGTGGGGCCCCATAAGCATTGCGCAAATCCGACACACGCGTCAGTGAAACTGTCAATTTTTTCACTTGTACTATTGCAGTTTCAGGTCATTAACTCTAATTTCTAATTTTAAGACATAGAACAATGTGAAAACTTTAAATAAGTAACAAACGAAATTATTGCGTCACACGCAAAGCAAGTAAAAATGAACGTTTATAAAGAATGTGTCGAAACCTTTTCGTCTTTAGTTTGTCTGTATTGTTTAATCTTTATCTATTTTCAGATACATTGTGTAAACATATTTGGTAATTGTAAAATTATTATAAGTTAAACAAATATCAAAACTGCTGAAATTTTTGGCGACCCCCTGCTGCTGGTTCCGCGAACCACATGGGGGTCGCACCCACAGTTTAAGAAACTGCTCTAAACAGATTTCTTCTTGGTGTTCGAATTTCATTCCTCATCAGTGAATGTTCTGGCAGCGGAAAGACATAAACTCCGTTTCCCCTCAAACATATAAAGTCACACACAGGGCCGGTGCTAGTCGTTTTGTCGTTCGGTTCAGACTCTGAGACTGGTTGTACCTGTTCTGGTACCGGCCTTGCCCACACCCGCACACGCACACACGCATTATATATGAGATGAAATTCCAGATTTAATTGTAAGAGCCCCTGAAGTCCCCTTTAGTTATTTCCCAAATTAATCCCTATCGTATGATACTCATATATATATACTCATATAACGCTCAATACGCATGCATTTACATAATGACGAAAAGTTATTAATCCAAAAGTAATGTTATATTTTTCAAACTAAAAATTTATTTAAATAATCGAAATAAAGTAAAGTTATATAACTTCACTAACATCGGTATTCTGACAGAAAAGTTTTTTTTTTTTTTTCCCCAAACTTCTCTGTTCTTCAGACGTTTCTCTTTCTTACTTCAGATACATTAAAGATATAAAAAGCACGAATGTTATTATTGACGAACACGCAAACATTTCGTACCAATTCCACATTACATTTGTATGTACATTTGAATGTACAATTGACATGTACATTTGAATACTTAATGGCTATTATTGCAATTACGTCTTCATACCCATTTCCAACTTTATGCTCAATGTCATTATCATTATATCCATCTCTCTCTTTCCTCTATCTAGGCTACCATATCTCAGAGTACAATACAATACGTCACCATATGACAACCCATTCCATTCCATCATTGAGTGCATTTACAGTTCCAGCCATTTCGTTTCAAATTTTGCAAACAAGTAGGTTAATTTTAATTTCCTTTCTGGCATTAAACCTAAAATTGTATGCTATAAATCACTACTTTTTATTTAACACATTTTTTAGCGCCTGATCGTCTGCTATACGAAAACTTTCTCCTCTACCGTAGTTGCCTAGCAACGAATCTTGTAATGCACATGCGTCAATATCGTTTGTTTTTTGTAATTCTTTTTATTAGCTTGTTCGACGAAAAATTTGCTGCTTTAATTTTTAAATCGCTGCTAATTGAGCGGTTAATTTTCGAATAAAATAAAAGATGGATTTAAAGGAAAATTAGTTTCATTATTTCGTAGCTACAGTCCATAACAATATTAATATAAAAGAATGTAGAAATTTGTATTTAAAAGCTTTACTTTGATTTCGCATTTGGATCTAAAAGAATGTATTAATTGGTATTAAATGACTACATTTTAATCTAACGTAATGCATTGATTTAAATATTGTTTTCTAATATCTTCTTTATATTAATATATACTAATATATACTTCTATATATTAATTTGTACAGATTTTAATAGGTTTTTATTGTTTTTACAATAATGTGACGGTGTCGGGGAATATTTTTTCTAAAGTAATGATCTCGTTTTCCTAATTTAATTCCGTTCTTAATGAGTACCTTAAATTAAGAATTTCTTAGTAATATTTATTTTAATTTTTGTTTATGACAAGTCTTTTAGCTCAAGCAGATTAATATTTTTCTAATTTTTAAGTTTTGTTCGTAGTTTATGATTTAACTCTAGCAAAATTACTAATTCGATTCTTACTTGGGAAAAAGACGAAAGACTGTCACTTAACTTGGCTATTGTTAATTGCTAGTGGAATGGTTTGGTCCCCTCCACAAGTCAATTCATCTACTGTCAGTGACAGTAGCTATCTTTTCAGTACTTTAAATTTTACTTTTCAATTTTAATTTTTAGCATTTTTACGATTCAAAATATTATTTCCTATTAAATTTTACTGCAATAGAAATCTAAATAACTTATACTCAAAATACTGACTAAAATGTATTCCAATAATTTATTTCTTTAATTAAAATTCTGTATATAATCTTGAGTGCAGCAAATACGTAATTAATTGAATAATTTTGTCGCTTTCGTAATGCATGCTCGACACGGTGCATGTTTAAAAATCCAGTTCGCCAATGGAAGATGTTTGTTGAATATTGGACTGGATTTCAACTGGATTTTCTAGAGGCATTTTTCTAGAGGATTTTCTAGAGGCATTCAAAAAAATCTTTCTGTTCTAGTTAACGACCCTAATTCCAATCCATCTTTGCCCTCAGCCTTTAAAGAAATTGTGTTTTAGTTCTGGTTTGATCAACAGATGGCGCCAGTAGCTTATCTCCTGTCCAGGCTTTCTTATCTTATCTAATCATTATATCTTATCTCGTTCATTCGCCCTTTTGCAGCTTAGGATTATGGTTCGGTAAAACCATCGAAACTAGTCCTGTGAAAATTTGAAAAATACTACGTTATTTTTGTTGTTTGACCTCTGAATTAATATTTGTTCGTCGTGTTATTATATCTTAATTATACATTGGAAAGTTCTAAACGTTCGTGAAAAATTTATGAAAAAATTCAGATAGTTGAATTTTCTTCCCTCTGAAAAGTAAAATTTTTTCGTATTACCACCATAATCCATTTTTTTAAATGATAGCAACAAATTGCGAGACGCCAAATCAGAAACAAAAATGAGCTCAAGCAGATAAGGGAGGGTTCTGTAAACAACACCCTCTTATTCGCAAGTATTGCGAACAAAAAAAAAAGCGTCAATAATGCGACATTTATGTTGAAACCTGCTCTATAATGAAACCTTCAGAGTACCGAAGAAAAATTTAGCTCAATTTTTAATTTTGAATATATATATATATATATATGTAATGATTTTACTTTTGGGGGTAGATAAAAATAATTCCCATTCTAGTCATGGCCGAAAATACTGCTGCGTGCATGACTGAAAATTGCGTCATAACGGAAAGATCCGATGGAATTTTAGAAGAAGCACGACCAGCTTGATAGTAAAACATCATTTATTTTCGGATGACGAATTTCTTAACTCATATCTTCATAACCGGTAGAAGATTAGAAGTGCTGAACGTACCCCATAAATTGAGATATGCAATTACATTTTAAATAATGGCGAATAGCAAGTTGTCAACAAGCGAATAGCAAGTTGTCAACAGGCAGATGCAAGTTGTCAACAGGCAGATTACGCTGTCAACAGGCAGATGAAGAGGCGAAAGAGAAAGAGACTACGGAGTAAGCAGCTGTTTATACTACAAGGTGCATAAGTACAGCTAATTTGTGATTGTTTAATTTTGGGTTTTAGTTCCAGTTTTCAAGCACCGTTTTGTAACATGGAAAGATTTCGAATTTGGGAGAACAGATGAATTTAGTGGGGAGAACACCAAATTTGGAATAGTTAATTTTGAAATCGCCAGTCGTTTCTTAGAGCAGCCATCGTGTTTTGTTATATTTTACTAGAATAGTTAATTGGTTGCTAATCTTTTTAGAGGGTAGGCCCACCAGCGGCCGAGCGGTAAAGACGCTGAACACTGGTAGTTCGGTCTGAGGTTCGAATCCCGCGAACGGGCTGGCTGCATGGGCGTTTTCGTGGTTTTCCCCATGTGTAACGTGTATACGAGCCAGTTTCCCTTAGAAAGTCCTCCACGAAAGGCATCCCTCCCTTTAGGCAGATAGCCCTCGTGTGCTTTGCCATAATTAAATACACCAACACCTTTTTAGAGCAGCCTTCGTATTTTGTTACATCTTACATATATATATATATATAATGTTGTATGATCTTAAATTCATTCTTTTAAAATAATTCTACTTTAGTTAAACTTAGGAGATAATATAATCAATTAATCAATATTGTTTAGGAAATAAATTATATATATATATATATAATAACAAAACAATTAAAAAAGATATAATGTAATCATACCTAGTATTTCCGCGCATTAAGCTGCTGAAAACATTATCAGTAAATACATAAAATAAGAAATTTAGAACCAGTTTTTCACAAACATCAAACATTAGAATTCATAAATAATAAATTTCATAAAATCCTAAATGTTAAAAAAAGAATTTAATAAATGTTAAAACTAAAATACTTCGAACAAGTAATAACCTAATTCAAAAAATCAATGAAATTTAAAGAATATAAACGAAGAGGATTTCAATCAACTTCAATGCTACTTCGTCAGAAGAAGGAACACTGAAATCAATTGAAATCTCTCTTCCATAAAAAAATCCTTGCTTTTCTGTAACTAGAATTAGCCGATGAACCATTCCAATGTACTAATTCAGAAGTCAAACAACAAAAGTCAGCCTTATATTTTAAAATTTTCACAGGACTAGTAATTCATTCCAATGTATTTTAATTATAATAGTTCATCCAAAAATTCAGGCCCCTTCAAAAAGCTAGGAAAAAATTGAAGTAAATTCTAATCAAAAGTTTACCTTTCTTTTTTTTTAAACAAAGATAATTCTACCCAAAGCAATTAAAACGTAAGTGAAATTATAAAACTTTAGTGAATAAACTTAATACAAATGGAATTGAAATATAAACTCACAAGAAATAATTTAAAAACTTCGAGCACGAGTGCTTTCTGTTCAACTGTTTGAATACTTCATAAAAGGATCTTTTACACTTCTCTTACGTTTCTGTTTGCATTCTAAACATAGAGATAATTCACTTAGTTCTGTTGAGAGTCTTGACTTAGTGTATGACTCTACAAAGAGACTCTGCAAAATCAGACTCTACAAAGTGATTAATATTTTGTGGATAAAAATAGTCCACATTCATGCAATAAATCAATATTTTCTATATAAAAATATTCTGTATCTGAAGAAGAAACAAATTTTTATATGAATATTTTTATAAAAAATGAACTTACACTGAAAATTTAATAAAAAACACATCAATGAGTATACTGAAAATATGGTGATGAGAAAAAAGAAAATTTATACTTCATGTTTTAAGTAGAAAAAGTATTTTTTAATTAAATTTAATACTACATCAATGCTTTCTTCTCTTACGTTTTATGTTCAGCTATTAAAGGTTTATGTTGTTTATGCATTTTCCTAGGAGATGATAGTTTATGAAGTGTGTCCTCGTGATTTGACTTGCATGTTTGGAATCAATATTTATTTTGCCTTTGGTCGTGTAACATTTTCCATTGTTTCGTGTTCATGCATTCAAACCATGTATTCAACGTAACGGAAATTGCAATCTGGTGAGGGAGACAGGAACAATGAGGCTTTAATCTATGTTGTTCTATAGAATCAATACTGTCAACTCGCCAACACTTGTAGTTCGCGATTTGAGTAGCAAGTTTAGTGCAAACAATATTATAAATGTACTCCATTTTCTTTTAATTGTAAATGTCTTTGAATGCATCTCCATTTCCAAGGTCTGCGCTCGTTTCGGAGACATCATGCTCCATAAGTCAAAATCCAAAGAAAATCTTTTTAATAGATATTATTTTTCAATTTTACTTATTCATACAGAAGTTTAGAAGTTGATAATACAAAGAACTGTAGACAACAAGTGGCAAATCTTTCTGCAGAAGCAATGCTTCAATCTGAAGCGTCCGAAAAAAGTCTGTAAAGCGTTTCTTCTTTTCTTTTCAACAACATGAAGAATTATTTCCCTTTCCGAGATCGCTCGTTACTTTTGCGGAGTTACCATTCTTTTAAATGATCGCGTCGCCGAACAGTTTCTTTTTTTCTTTTTCCTTTTACGTCTCGACACATTCCCTGATCGGCAGTAAGTGCGAACCAATGTTTTCTCGTAAATAATGCTGTCTTGGAAATTTATTTTTCGTTCAAACAGCAACCACATCTCTGAAAAGGCACAGGCATGCTGGAAATGGATATACTGTAGGAGAAACTAATCCAAAGATCAGAAAATTATCCGTGACCCATGCAATCTAGAGACCATTTCCTTGTTTTGGTGGTTTTAGTTCATTACAGCAT